CAGGAGATCAGTGGGAACTCTCCTCTAGGACTCTAGGGGGAGCCTGGCCTGAGCCGCCTTCCCCCGCGCGTCCCACCCTCAGCCCCCACCTCACCACGGCCCCTCGCTGCTCGCTGGCCTGTCCCCGCCTCCTCCGCCTGCACTCGCGGCTCTCAGGAAGGCGGTGCGGGTTGCGTGCGCCGCTTTCACTTTCCCTTCCCGGCGCCCAGTCCTCCCACCTCGTGCGGCGCTAGGACCCCCGCCCGCCCCAGCCATGGCCACGCTCAGGGTCCAGCCTGAAGCCCAAGCCAAGGTGAGCGCTGCGGGTTCGAGGAAGGGCCCGTTAGGGAGGCGTGGCGCCGAAAGGCTGTGGTCGTAGGTGATCCGCCCCCCAGCGCCCCGGACACTTGTCGGGGATCAGTCTTCGGGCCCAAGTGAGCCTTCATGCCGGGAGCACCTGAGCCCAGGGAGATCGGCGGGGTTCGCCCCCGAGCGAGGGGAGGCGGCCTGGGTTCAGCGGGGTGAGGCGAAGCGCAGAGCTAGCGTGGAGGGGAAGTCCGCTGGCCCGGCGCCGGGCCCACACACAGGCGCTGTACGGGACCTGCCTTGCCATCTCATTGCCTTTCGCACAGGGAGGGCCCCGGGGCCCATTCCACAGGTCACTCTGTCCCTGCCCCTGTCGCGAAAGGCTCTTAACACCTCTCCTTACACAGCCCAGGAGACCCGAGGGATGTTCTCACTTGAACCAGTCGCCCTTCGCTGCCAGGAATGTTCTCATCCCCAAATTCCAGTCCCACGGGGACCCACTACACCCTTCCCCAGGCCATGCCCTACACAGCCCTAAGGGAGGGAACTGGCCATAAAGCCATGTGTCTGAAAGGCTGCCTGTGTCCCACAGGTAGATGTGTTCCGTGAAGACCTATGTACCAAGGTAAGACCTGCCCCATCAGCACCCCACCCCTACTCAGTTCCCACTGGATTAGTCCTTCCTTGCTGGGCAGCATCAGCCCTGCTTTACTGCCTAGGAAGGGCATTTGATTCTGACAGCCGTCTTCCACCCTCACCTCACTCTTAGACGGAGAATCTGCTTGGGAGCTATTTCCCCAAGAAGATTTCTGAGTTGGATGCATTTTTAAAGGTACTGAGACTGGGCAGGGAGCTAAAAAGTAAGGGTCAAGGGGGAGAGTCTGGACCATGAGAGTAAGGTGAGAGGGATGCCCTTGCCTCCAGCCTTCCTCCTACCCTGTGCCAGGATCCAGCTCTCAATGAAGCCAACCTGAGCAATCTGAAGGCCCCGTTAGACATCCCAGTGCCTGATCCAGTCAAGGAGAAAGAGAAGGAGGAGCGGAAGAAACAGCAGGAGGCAAGCCAAGACAAGCTGGGAGGAGGGACCCAAAAATGGGGAAAATTAGCCTTAGACCTGACTCCCAAGAGCCCTTCTTTCCCTGCAGAAGGAAGACAAAGATGAAAAGAAAAAAGAAGACGAAGACAAAGGTACCTATGGTGGGAAGGGTTATGAGTCTCATCTTCCAGGAGTTCCTCCTGAAGGATTCCTCTTTCCCACCCCTCACTTAGCCCCAGCCATGTGACTGACCTGTTGCCCACTCTCTAGGTCCTCCCTGTGGCCCAGTGAACTGCAATGAGAAGATCGTGATCCTCCTGCAGCGCCTAAAGCCTGAGATCAAAGATGTCATTGAGCAGCTTAACCTGGTGAGCCCTCCCACTCCACTTCCACCTCCAGGATTTAGGTCAAACCCTTTGTCTTCCTTGGCCTCTGCCATTTAGGGCGTGGCACCTGCCAAGTCTTAGCAGGATAGGGCACAGCCATTGAAGCCAGAAGCTAGGCCTTGGGGCTCAGGCTGGACTGGGCATACCTCCACCCAAAGCAGGCAGGAAGCAAGGAAGGACAGGAACTTGAGAACTGGGTTGAGGGCTGATGTGACTTTGATGCCATTCCCTCCTCCCAGGTCACCACCTGGTTGCAGCTGCAGATACCTCGGATTGAGGATGGAAACAATTTTGGAGTGGCTGTCCAGGTTAGAGCACCGCCTCACTCTTCCAACCTCCTTACCTCTCTAGCCCATGCTGTTTTCCACTTTCCCCCTTGCATTCTTTACCCAGGAAAAGGTGTTTGAGCTGATGACTGCCCTTCACACCAAACTGGAAGGCTTCCACACTCAAATCTCCAAGTGAGTGTCTGCCCAACTGCACTCACGTGCACACTCTGCCTTTGGCTTGGATAGAGGACTGGATTCTCTCATTCTCGCTCAACATACCTTCTATTTCCCACAGGTATTTCTCTGAACGGGGTGATGCCGTGACCAAAGCAGCCAAGCAGCCCCATGTGGTAGGTGAGACCCAGGTCAGGGTGCATGAGGGGAAGGACACATTTGAATTCAACCCTGACCCAGGTCTCCCACAGGGTGATTATCGGCAGCTGGTGCATGAGCTGGATGAGGCAGAGTACCGGGACATCCGGCTGATGGTCATGGAGATCCGAAATGCTTATGTGAGGAGGAGAGGGTGGGGCAGGGGTGGGCAGAGGCAGCTTTCCCAGGCCACCCATCCCCTGACCCTACAGGCTGGGGGTGAAGGGTGACAAAGCTCAGTCTCTCTACAAGGTTAGAAATGAGGCACAGAGCCACTGGGGACTTATGGCTGATCCCCGCTCCTCCCTGGCCCTATAGGCTGTGTTATATGACATCATCCTGAAGAACTTTGAGAAGCTCAAGAAACCCAGGGGAGAAACAAAGGGAATGATCTATTGAAAACCTCCTCTTACAGTGTGGTGGGTCCAGCAGAGACCTTTCTGTCTTTGACAGGGAACTCCAGACTTTGTCCCATCTCTGCCTTTTGAGGTTTCTCCCTCACTTTGCCTCTTAGGCACAATAAATACAGTCATAATGGTACCCATCAGCTCAAGTCTCTTTATTGGATCCTGACACACACGCCCCTCTGGCCCTGGCTCAGGCATTTCCATTGGTGGGACCAACCCGCTGGGTGATTTCGGTGTTGAGCTGCTGGTTGGTCCAGTCCTGCCGGATGTCATCAAGATGGCAGTCAAAGTCCACAAGGTGCTGGTGGGCCCGACTCTCGAGTAATGCTCCCACCATCTGTCGTGACTCTTCCCAGTCCCTCCACATCACTCTGAAATAATAACCCTCATGAAGGTCAAACTCAGCAGGCAGTGGGGCCAGACATGTAACAGAGTAGTTAGCTCTAGCGAATGACCCTTGGGGCAGGACCAAGGACAGGGGTTCAGTCGCTGTGGCGTTCCAAGAAGAGGTAGAGGGAATGGGGCACTCACAAGTTCTTGTCCTTGGGGACCCAGCGGAGACCATGGTTCTCCAGAACGATGACTGGGGGTACATTAGGCTGAGACACCAGTTTCTGATTATCCAACTGTGTGAACAAGGAAGGGCAGGTGAGGGTTTCAAGGATCACCCTTCCTACTTTGTTTCCAACTCCCTTCTCCAAACCCAGTCCTCACCATAATAAGTATTGCCTCAGGGAAGAATTCTGCAATCCGCCCAGCGATTTTCAAGGCTAGGGGCCCAGGGCTGTGTAGAGGGAAGATCAGAGGAGTGAGGAGCCGACTGGAGAGACCCCGTCCATCTGAGCTGTGCCTCCCAGATCTCACAGACATGGATGCAGTGATTGCCTTTCCCTGTAGTTAACCTGGGGGGGTTCAGGTCTGCTTGATGCTTCATGCAGGACTGCTTGATGCTTGAGTGCTGTGGGAAACAGGTGCTCAGACACTGCTGGTGAGAGTGGAAATTAAAGGTGGTCTTCTTGGGGGTAATTTGGCATAACCATCCAAATTTAAACTGTATACTATACATATGCTGATCCAGAAATCCCACTTATATAAAGAAATTACTGTAATAATGGGGTACTCTATAATAGAAGATTGGAAACAACCTTAATGTTCAATATAGGCATTTAATAAATTATGGTACATCCTTATTCATATTACATAACCTTAGTGTAAGGTAGACCTTGGAGTAGAAATGGATAGATGTCAGATATTTATTAAATGAGAGAAAAGGAAATTACAAAATAGTACGTATACTTTGATCCAGATACACAATTAATATACAAGTAGATATTTTTTTCTACTTATAGAAAAGAAATTTGGGTGGGGGGGGTAAGTTGCTTTTTGGGCTTCCTGTGCTCTTTTAGCAGTTTGGGGGCAGGGGCACCTCGGTTAAAACAAGTGTCAGCCTTTTCTTATTGATACACAGTTGTCCTCCCCACTGCCACCATAGTTCCTCCAAAGGTCTTTATATTTCTTTCTGTTTCCTCACTCCAGTACCCAGCCTCATTTCTGGTGTACAGTTTCTGCTCCTAAACGTTTGATTAAGGAAAGGTGGAAGGAATGACCAAGAGGGCTTCTCTTGACACCACCCCCAGCCCCACCCCGTAACCCTTAGCCTCCTGCCTCTGGCTACCCCACTCACCTTTGGTCATCCAGAGCTGCATTGGCATGGTAGTACCCAGCCACTACCAGCCCGGCCTGCGCGCCCCACACATCCACCTGCCGTGGGAAAGGGGCCATCAGTAACCGCCCTGTGGGTGTGCACTGCTGCTAGAGGCCGGGGATAGGCTTGGGCTAGGGGTGTTAGGGGGTTTCGAAATGGTTGGTGGGTGTACAGCAGCGGCACCTGGTTGAGAGCGACCTCCAGCATGACGGACAGGGCCAGGTGGCTGTGGAACAGGGGCACACAGTCGGTGAGGCACAGGCATTCTCCCGACTGCGGAGCCGGCGCCAACAACAGCCCGTTCACCGCGGCATGAGGGTACCGGGCGGCGTGCAGGCACATCTTCACGTAGGCCCGGGCCGAGATCTCCACCTCCCCCATGGCGAACCGGGCCCCGGCTTGAGTCCACGAATCTTTCTTCAGCGCCCCGGCACCCTCCCTGGCTCTTCCTGTGCCCCCTCACTTAGGTTCGGTGGTGGCCCTGACTCAAGGCACCTCGCTCCGGAGCCCGGTTCCGACCTAGCCCGGAACCAGGTGGTCCCGATGGCACGCTCCAGAACCGAGCTCCGCCTCCGCTGCCCGCAGGAGGTGGCAGCAGCCTTGGAGACGCAGCCGGCTGCTACTAGCCCGACCAGCTTCTAGAGTACTGCCCACACGGTGCTCTTTGATAGGCTGAGGTTCTCGTTGTGTCCAATCACAGGCCTCATCCAAACCTTGCCCCGCCTTTGTCTCCAGAGGGAGTGGAAAGAACCCACAACTGTAAAGGAAAGAGAAGTGCCTGCACGCTGATTGGCTAGGCTACCCGACTTCGGCTAGTGATTGCAGAATGGCTGCTTGTTACCTGTGCCCATGGGTCCCCAAAGCCCTGCAGAGCCAGCGCGGGGGAGGGCATGCCCTGCCTAAGGTGTTCGGGAGCAGTAGATCTTTGACCAGCGGACTACCTTGCTCCTACTATCAGATGAGTGGATTTGTATTCTAGACCGTTCTTGTACTTAATGAGCCATGCTACCTTTTCAACTACAGGTTATCTGGCCCTTGGTTTCCTTGATGTAGTATCTGCAGAAACAAAGACATCAATTGGCTGAAGGGGGGGAGGGGGGAACGGGACAAAACAATGTATAGACCCATCCTTCGCATAATGTCTCATGGGGTAATTTGCTTCATCACAATGCCTTGGTAGTGTTTTTTTTACCTCCCAGTCCTTGAGAAGGAGTCCAACCATTAACCTGTAATTCTTCCAGTGAAACTTCATTTTTTCTCCAGGCTTGTTCTGAAAGGATGAACTGATGAAAGACTTTTCCTTTCTTCATTCCCTGACCTCAGCCACAGAGTTTTCCTCTTGTCTGTCCAAAGCTTGATTATTCCTATAAGGGCTCTGCCCAAATGCCACCTCTTCCAGGAAGTACTCATGAGAACCCCAGATGGAAATAATCTTGTGAAAATCTCCAATACAGGTTATCTTCATGGCCTTTACGGCATGTAATGGTTTCCACCCTGTTCTTTAGGATGACTTCTTAAGAAAAGGATGGGCATCTGATTCATCTTTGTCTTCTTGGAACCCCCTTCCTTTCCCACCACTACATTCACACTCAGTGTCTGGACAAGGGTGGAACTCAGTAAATGCTTTCTGAATGAATGACACACACCAGAGGTGATCCACACAAAGCACTAGTAATTTATTTCCCTTCTAGCCCCGGGCTCAGTACATAGATGGCTTCTCTTCACCCTTTGGGTTGACAATTTTCTCCAGGTTGCTGCTGATGATATGATAAAGCTCAGCCTGGAAGAAGGCCAGAAGTACAGCAGTTAGGTTCTTGGCCTTTCCTCTGTACCCCCTCATCCAACTCCCTTAGGGGCTTACTCCACACTCACATAGAAGGCCCTCAGGTCCAGCACCATGGCCCTGAGCTCCCTATAGGCTGCCTCATCTCGCTCGTGCACCAGAGCCCGGTAATCCATCTGGGATGTGGAAGGCAAAGCTGAGTCAGCCCCATAGGAGGTTGAGACATAGTCTGGTTTCCTCATACAGGGAATAGGTAACTTGAGGATGGGCTCTTCTCAGCACAAGAAATGGGATTCCCACAGGACCAAACAAAAAAAGGGGTCAATGTTTTTGAAACCCAAATCATTTTTCCTAGGCAATGTTTTGCCATATTGGGAAGGTCATAAACAAGAGAAAGAGGACCTCTATCCCCCCTTCCTCACCCCACCCCCAGTCAGCCTCAGGTGAAAGTCTGGTGGACAGTTCACTCACTACATGGGTCTCCTTAGAGGCCTTGGCCACAGCATCCCCGCGCTCTGAGAAGTACCTGCCAGAAACAAGGGAGTAACCACAGGAATGAGTGTTGAGAGATAGAGATATTCCCTCAAACCCTTCCCAAAGCCCCCCATCATCCTGATGGGACTGCCCAGCTTTGGAAGTCCCCAAAAATGTCACCAAAGCGCCCCCTTGCCCCCTCCCATGCTGGCCTTCCTGCTGCCCTCACTTGGAAATGGTTGTCTGGAAGGCTTCTACTTTGGTCTTGACCGCATTCACCCTCTCCAGTACCTTCTCCTGCAGTGACAAAAGAGATGGGAGGCAGAGGCAAAAAAGATACTTCATCTCCTCCCTCCTTCACTCACCATCTTCCTCCTCCCAGTTATGTCTAGCTCCTATCCCTCACTCCCCACTCTTAATGTCTTCACACACCCTTTTCTTACCTGGATTGCCACCCCAAAGTCATTTCCATCCTCAATCTTGGGGATCAGATGCTGGATCCATGAGATCACCTATGTGAAAAGATATCATTTGGAATCATTCAACAAACTTACTGGATTCTTCCTATTTCTGCTACTTCCTAATAGCTGTATTTAATTGAGCATTTATTTTGTGCCAAATACTATGCTATGTATTATACATCTCTAATATTTCAAGTTATATATTCTTATTATATCCACTTAACAGATGAAAAAACTGAGTCATAGAACATCTAAGTGACTTACTTAAGGTAACCAGCTAGGTAAGTGATAGAGTCATGATTTGAATTTAAGCAGTCTTCCTCTTAGGGTCCAGACTCTTTTTTCTTTTTTTTTAACTTTTTTTTTTTTTTTTTAATATATCTTTATTGATTTTAGAGAGAGGAAGGGAGAGGGAGAGGGAGAGAGATAGAAACATCAATGATGAGATAGTNATATCCACTTAACAGATGAAAAAACTGAGTCATAGAACATCTAAGTGACTTACTTAAGGTAACCAGCTAGGTAAGTGATAGAGTCATGATTTGAATTTAAGCAGTCTTCCTCTTAGGGTCCAGACTCTTTTTTCTTTTTTTTTAACTTTTTTTTTTTTTTTTTAATATATCTTTATTGATTTCAGAGAGAGGAAAGGAGAGGGAGAGAGAGAGATAGAAACATCAATGATAGAGAGTCATTGATCAAGCCCGCAACCCGGGCATGTGCCCTGACCGGGAATCAAACCCCAATCACCTGCATCCTAGGTCGACGCTCAATCGCTGAGCCACTCCCACCTGGGCAGGGCCCAGACTCTTAAATCAACTACTGTATTATAGCACCTGCACTGTGTACCTGGTGTATCAGTGGGTTCTGAGGTTATGGAGGTGGATATAGCACAGTCTCTGATTTCAGAGATACCACTGTGATATCAGAGGTCTAGCAGAACAAAAGGTATCTAAACCCATGTCACAGAAGGAAGCTTCCTATTTTAGGAATAGGCTCCTGAATGAAGGACTTGCATTTCTGAAGGACACCAGGGCCTGGCCTGGCTTGTCTTCTCTTTCTGTTTCTCTCAGTTCTCAGGCTTACCAGGATACATTTTTCTTTGAGAGTCCAGACTTCTGGCTTAACCAGGGCAAGCAGGGCCAGGAGCTTCTCATTCCCGGGGAGAAAGCCACACTTGGGGACTGTGAAAAAGAGGGATTTAGGCCCCTTCTCATCCAGCAATCACTGTGCCATTTCCCTTTCCCTAGCACCCCTTCTTCTCTTACCTTCTTTCTTCTCCTGTTTATCTGTTTCCATCTAAAGTAGAAAGGGTGAAAGTAGCTTCAGAAAAGTCATGGAGGTTGGAGAGCCATCATTTCCACTGGGTTTATAGTCCAAGCCCTACACCCTGATTGCCTCACCTCATCATCTTTGGGTGGAGGGTCTGGAATAGGGATGTCCAGTGGGGCTCGGAGAGAAGTCAGGTCAGCGACGTTGAGGGAGTCCTCCTGCACAGAGCTTATTGTCAGGGGCTGCCCAACCTTCCAGCCACACATTCCACATGCCCTCTCCCTCCCAACCTAGGCTCAGGGCTTACACCATCCTAAAGTTCCCAGTGTACCACTCACAACTGTTCTCTGCATGCTGAGCCCAGTTGTTATCTTAGAGAGGATGGGTGGAGAGGATGGAGATCATGGAATGGAGCAAGAGGGGTCCACACTACTCACTTGCAAGAGCTGATTCAGGTGTATGATTTTCTGTGGCAAGAATCTGTAGAGGAATTCCTCAGCCTGTGGGTTATATTGCAAGGGTGGGGAATCGCAGAAGATACTCAATGAGATGTCTGAGAAGTGGGACTGGAAGGGCCCTTGAATATTATTGAATCCAAGACCTACAAATGAGGAAACTGAAGCCCTAAAAAGTGAAGGTACTTGCCCAAGCTGGGAAGTGGCAGAACCAAGGTTAAGACTGTGGTATTCCTGCTTCGGGGCCACAGCGTTTCCCTCCACACCAAAAGGGGAGAGAATTGGCAGAAGTGGGGGGAGTATTAAAAGGTATCGAATTAAAGGTAGAGATCAATAATTAGGATCTTATCTTGGGTGAAGGCTTGATAAGAGAAGTAGGGCCTAGGTCTAGGGTGGATTTAGGGGTCACTCTGAGAAGTTGTGACCCTCAAGCATTGAACTGAGATTCTGGGTCAAATCGCTTGAATCCAGAAGACTTACCTCCTGGAAAAGATTTTGCCTGAAGCCATCCACCTGCATAGAGAGCAGTACCCGGATGTTGGTTAAGGGTCTCAATTGTCAACAGATCCCACCCCCAATGGAATGCTCTTCTACTTGGCTCTGGCCTTTCCCACCACAAGCCAGATTTCCCTGGAAGTCCATGCCCTCAGTGCAGACACAGGCCAGAGGGCAGGAATCTGGGATTCCCCGGGCAGAAGTGAAAGCACTAAAGAGAGGCTGGGGTTGCTCTCTGTCACGGCCTTGGTCCCCTGGAGCACCCAGCTTGGCCTCTATCCTGGAGGGCTCCCGGACACCCTCCTAGCTTCCCGGTCCCCCGTTACCTGTTTGCGGGCTTCCCCGCTCAGGCGCACCCCACAAGGTTTGGCCATGCTGCTCCAGTTGCAGTATCTCGGGTCCCCCGGCTCGCCTCTTGAGCTTTCGCTTTCACTCCCCACATCCAGGCCCGCCCCCCTTAACCCCGCCCCCT